GTAATTATGAAATTGCATTTTGTTGTTTTCTATTTTGCCATTTTTGCCATTAATGCCATTTTTGCCATTAATGCCATTAATGCCATTAATGCCATTAATGCCATTAATGCCATTAATGCCATTTTACTATTTTTATAATTCATTAGTTCCGTTATTTGTTATTATTATTATTATTATTATTATTATTATTATTATTATTATTATTATTATTATTATCTATTATTTGTTATTTATTATTTGTTATTTATTATTTGTTTATTCATTAATTTTTATTTACTCTCATTATAAAGCAGCAAAAGACTAATCTAAATATAACTTCGTTAATAAAAGCAAATAAACAAAAAGGCAATTATTGATATTCTCTTTTTAGTTTTAATTTTTGTTTTTAATTCCATTTGACCAGCACTTATTTATTAATGGCATTAATGGCATTAATGGCATTAATGGCATTGCAATTAAAATAATAAAATTAAAAACAAAAAAGATTAAAAACAAACAAAACTATTTAATTTCACTTTTATTTATTTTTTTATTTTATTTCCCCACCGCAAAATGTCCACCAAAAATTCCAAAGCTTCATTCACAAGACGCGCGCACTCAGAGGGGCACACTTGCTGCTGCTGCTGCTGCTGCTGCTGCTGCTGCTGCTGCTGCTGCTGCTGCTGCTGGTGTTCTTGCTCTGTTTTTGCCGCTTCCTGTGTGTTGCTGCTGCTGCTGCTGTATTTGCTGCAGAATTCTTCTATCTGCTGCAGCAGAGCTGCAGCCGACTCAAATGCTTCTTGAGGCCAGTAGCTGCTGCTGCTGTTGCTGCTGCTGCTGGCGTTGCTGCTGGCGCAGTTGCTACTGCTGCTGCTGCTGCTGCTGTCGCTGCTGCTGCTGTCGCTGCTGCTGCTGTTGCTACTGCTGCTGTCGCTGCTGTTGCTGTTGTTGCTGTTGCTGTTTTCGCTGCTGCTGCTGTCGCTGCAGCTGCTGTTCTTAGTGCCGCCGCAGTAGCTCCTACTGCCGCTGCTGCTGCTGCTGCTGCTGCTGCTGCTGCTGCTGCTGCTGCGCCTGCGGGTGGGGGAGGGCACCAAGGGGGGCCCCCGGGGGCCCCCCTCTGGGGGCCCCCCCAGGTGGGTTAGAGGGGGCCTGAGGGCATCCATGTCAGTGTTAGGGGCGTTTTTGCTGCATTATAAGGAAATTAAAAGGACTTTAAAAGGACTTTGGAGGAAAATAAACTGCAAAAGAAATTAAATGGAACTTTGGAAAGTTCGGGGCAGAGAACGGCGCGAAAAACGAGCCGCGGGGTGTACGTACACCCCAGGAGCCGCGGGGTGTACGTACACCCCAGGAGCCGCGGGGTGTACGTACACCCCAGAGCGGGAGCCGCGGGAGAAGCAGCAAAGTTTGAAAAGGACTTTTGAAGAATTAAAGACTTTTAAGGCAATTGGAGGCCCCTTTTGGCCTTTTGCTGCTGCCCGTGGCTGCTGCAGCAGCAGCAAGGGCCTGGGGAGCAGCAGGAACTTTAAATTAAAAAAAAAGATAAATCCAAGAGCAACTTCTGCTTCCGCGCCGCTGCTGCTGCTGCTGCTGCTGCTGCTGCTGCTGCTGCTGCTGCTGCTGTGGGCCCTGGGGCCCGAGGGCTGCTCTAGCGCTCCTTAGGAGAATTACTTCGAATTAAAAGATTAATTAAAACTAATTGCTTCTTAAAAAACAAACAAATACAGCAACAACGCGGGCCGCAGCTCCCGGAAGGTCGCAGAAAAGCCCTGCTGCTGCTGCTGCAGCAGCAGCAGCAGCAGCAGCGGCAGCAGCAGCGGCTGCTGCTGCTGCTGCCCGCCCCCTGAGGCTTTCTTCGCGCATGCGGCGCTCCGCGGATTTCAGAGCTTTTGTTTGTTGTCTTCTTGTCTCTTAATTAAGTCTTTTAAGGGATAAGGCGCTGCTGCTGCTGCGGCTGCTGCTGCTGCTGCTGCTGCTGCTTCCTCGAGAGGCGCTCGGGGCCTTGTCGCCTGCAGACAGAAATAAAAGTGAATTGGATTTGTCGCGGAGTGCCAAGTTGGCACGCGTTTTGGGGTGTACGTACACCTCGGGCTGTCCGTAGAAGGCGCGCTGAAGAGGGGGGAAGGAAGACTTCTTCGGGTTTTGCACTCCGGGGAAGTTGGGGCTTTCTGGGTCGGAATAAATGCAATAAAGGCGTTTAATTCATCTTTAATTGTCTAAGTTTTCCTTTTTATTCCGCGTTTCCGCTTGTTCGAGCGCCGCCGCCGGCATGGAACGGACCAGACGCCGCAGAAAGAGAAGCAAGATCCTCCAGCCTCCGCGCGCCTGAGGAGGAATCCCGGAGAATCTGCGGTTAATTTTCAAAAATAAATCCATTTCTCGAAGAATTAAACGCAAAAACTTAAAAAATAACTGAAAACTGAACGCGAGCAAATTTGGCGCGCGCGCGTGGCTGAGGTGTACGTACACCTCAGCGCTCCACAACTCGCCTCTTCCGTTTCCTCATGAAGTTCACTCGGGG